GATGACCATCAGATAAAACACGGTTTCACTGCACATTAGAAAGCGAATCTGGGGGACCAGCAGTTGGCACAATGGCTATGTCGCTGGACTCCCATGTAGTCAACCACGGTTCAAGTCCCAGACCTGGTGGCTTAAACTCATGCCGGGCGCATGTGCATGCGTGCCCAAGATCCCGAGGGGAGAATGGAGGAGAAGGGATTGCAGCATGGCCATCCCCCCGGGGGATGATTTCTTGCTTTCTGTCTCTATGCCTCTCTCTGTCTTTCTGGCGAGTGCACGCACCCTATAGCGAAAACCTCTCAAAAAATAAAAATAAAAAAATAAAGTGAATCTGAAGAACCACTGCTTTGAAAAATGTCATATATAAGGATAAGTATCTTAGAAGGTACCTGCTATGTGCTGCTACTTCAGGAATCATAAAAAAATTATGGATTTATAAAATAATCCGAAAATTAACATTAGCCAGCATTTTGAACCTCCCTAACATCAACAATGTGGTGATGTGTAAAGGTCAGAAAATAATGTACATTCCTCTAGGTCAGGCTTTGTATTTATTTCTGGTTTAAGTCTCTACATTTCGTAGCGCCTAGCACATAGCAAGCACTCAAATCTGTTGAGTGATTAATAGTCTTTTTCTCAAGATACTTCTCTTACCTTGAAACAGACTAAACCTTACCGATGGCTCCTATTGTAAAGGCCATCTGGCAGAAAGGGTTTATATAATAGTTCATTCTAGCTTAACTGGAGTATTAGAAGATTTAAATGTTTAATTTGTAGGCTAGAGTTTGTGCTTTCAAATGATACCTTCCTAAAAAAAATTAGGCACCTTTAGAAGGACATATTACACTAAGAACCAAATTATCTGTGTAACGTTAATATGCTTCTTCTAAAAGCTTGCTAAATTAAATAGCCCTGTAATTGCACCTTAAATTTGCCTACAAATAATTTGTCCTCTACAGTGGTCTCTTTGGATTTCACAGGAATTTAAGTTAGTGTATTTAAATCAACAAGCTGTGGTTTTATACCCTGCCTTGATTTCTCTAGATCCATATCATAATTTTTCCAAGAACAATTTTTGGGGGAAACAAAAGCATTATTTCTTCTCTTAAAATATAGATAAAAAGACATAACGTTACCTGAGTCTATGATGAAATGCAATCATAATATGATACCTTAGAACAAATCTTAAATAACTGACCAAAATACTGTGTCTCATTTTTTTTTAAAGATTTTTTTTTTTTTTGCCATAAGGAGTGTGCACTCACCAGAGAGAGACAGAGAGAGACAGTGAGAGGGAAAAGTGAGAAATCACCCCCAGGGGGATGGCCACACCACAATCCCTTCTCCTCCATTCGTCTCCTGGGATTTTAGGCATGTATGCACACGTGCCCGGTGTGACTTTTCAAGCCACTGGTCCCAATGGCAGTTGGTCACGTGGGAGTCCAGCATCTTAACCACGCTACCTGCTGGTCCCTTGCATCTCATTTTTAAGTTTATATACAAATGGTCTAAAATAGATCTGGACTATGTCTAAAAGGCAACCTCAGGAAAAAAGTTATACCCGATTCCCCATAAGGTTATTTTAATATTTTCTAAAATAGTACAACATTATAAGGTGATCTCGAATGTGTATTAAATGATTTGATGTGCTATATGCAAACTCTTGACAGTTGTTATTAATCTACAATAATAATCACAATGGCTAACCTTTACTTGGCACTTAGAAAAGGCTACGTATTATGTTTACCCTTTTATTACGTTCACGATGGAAACTGAGTATTTGGCTAATTTATGTCATTTCCCCAGACTAAACAGCTACCAAATAGGAGAATCAGAATTAGAACTTCCTAGAACAGCCTCTAAGAGCAAAGAAACACATTATCAACTCAAAACTAGCATTAAAGATCAGCAATTCGATACATGTAAAAATTTGTATACAAAAATACTCAGAGGCATTCTTGCCATTTGTAAAATTTGCCATTAGCTGGGTGATCTTTATTTTATTTATGATAGAGAGAAGGGGGAGAGACAGAGAGAAGCACCCTTATCATAGTCTCATCACTCCACGACCCCCTCCCCAGACCCCAGCTCGCCAGGAACTCGGACACACACATACACACACACACACACACACACACACTGAGCAAACGTTCAGGCCTAGCAGGGTCTGAGCCTGCAGTTGGCCACATGGCTTCCTGCACTGCAGTTCAGGGTGCTACTGACTGACTAAACCACCAGGCCAGGCCATGTGTCGTGGTCCTAAAGCCGGCCCAAACCTGGACTTCGCTCAGCACATAATCATTGTGAAATCCGGTTTCTGACAGACGTTTTTGGGGAGTAGACAGTCAACATTTCACCTCGCTAACCCTGCATACAAGAACCATTCGAATGTGGATGGATTCTTAGAATTACTGTTGTAAAATGCTCTCTGCCTTCAAATGCAAAGAACTTATAAATTAGTATTTCAATTTTACGCATTGGTTTTTCTGGTTTCTTTTAGATTAGACACAAATATTTCAAAAGTAGAATTAACTTTTCATTATCCAAGTAATCTCACATCATCTTACAGTAAAGAAAAAAATTATTTTCATTGTTTTCCTGATAGTTCTTTAAAATAAATGCTGTGGAAGCCACTGACAAATTTTAATAATGAACAAAATTCAAAATCCTGTGGTTTCACGTTAAATATCACTTCCTCAGAGAAGCCCTTACTGACCTTTCCCTTCAGAGCTCACATAAAACCAAAGACACGTTACCCTTGTCTACACTTACTACTAGGTGTAAGTCTCTGAGAATAAACACCCAGGAGTGACATGTAATACACACCACAGTTGGAACTCGCCTTAACCGAGTTCAGTCTTGGCTACACAGACTTTTATGTCATGAACACTGGAAATTCAAATCTCAATGAGCAGACAAGCTCCTGAAAAGCCCTCTTTTGTGGCTGTCCTCCACTGCCACCGCTCTGGGTGCACGGAAAACACCCTCCTCCATTCTCACAGTTCCTTCCTTCCAGAGAGCACCTGTCTCCTCTTCCATATCCCGTCTTGTTCTCCATATCCACTCATGTTTATGCATGTTGCTCATATTCTATCCTCTTAATTCTAAATTCTAACACCTGTGGCTAAAAGCTACCTGCTTGTGGGACGATCTGGTGGCGTTAGGTTAGGGACCTGGATCCCACATGGCTGACTGCACGGTTCAAGTCAGAGACCTGGCAACTTAAGAATCACGCCGGATGCATGGGCGTGTGTGCCCCCAAATCCTGAGGAGAACTAAGGAGAAGGGGTGGCAGTGACTCAGAGGCATTCTTGCCATTTGTAAAATTTGCCATTAGCTGGGTGATCTTTATTTTATTTATGATAGAGAGAAGGGGGAGAGACAGAGAGAAGCACCCTTATCATAGTCTCATCACTCCACGACCCCCTCCCCAGACCCCAGCTCGCCAGGAACTCGGACACACACATACACACACACACACACACACACACACTGAGCAAACGTTCAGGCCTAGCAGGGTCTGAGCCTGCAGTTGGCCACATGGCTTCCTGCACTGCAGTTCAGGGTGCTACTGACTGACTAAACCACCAGGCCAGGCCATGTGTCGTGGTCCTAAAGCCGGCCCAAACCTGGACTTCGCTCAGCACATAATCATTGTGAAATCCGGTTTCTGACAGACGTTTTTGGGGAGTAGACAGTCAACATTTCACCTCGCTAACCCTGCATACAAGAACCATTCGAATGTGGATGGATTCTTAGAATTACTGTTGTAAAATGCTCTCTGCCTTCAAATGCAAAGAACTTATAAATTAGTATTTCAATTTTACGCATTGGTTTTTCTGGTTTCTTTTAGATTAGACACAAATATTTCAAAAGTAGAATTAACTTTTCATTATCCAAGTAATCTCACATCATCTTACAGTAAAGAAAAAAATTATTTTCATTGTTTTCCTGATAGTTCTTTAAAATAAATGCTGTGGAAGCCACTGACAAATTTTAATAATGAACAAAATTCAAAATCCTGTGGTTTCACGTTAAATATCACTTCCTCAGAGAAGCCCTTACTGACCTTTCCCTTCAGAGCTCACATAAAACCAAAGACACGTTACCCTTGTCTACACTTACTACTAGGTGTAAGTCTCTGAGAATAAACACCCAGGAGTGACATGTAATACACACCACAGTTGGAACTCGCCTTAACCGAGTTCAGTCTTGGCTACACAGACTTTTATGTCATGAACACTGGAAATTCAAATCTCAATGAGCAGACAAGCTCCTGAAAAGCCCTCTTTTGTGGCTGTCCTCCACTGCCACCGCTCTGGGTGCACGGAAAACACCCTCCTCCATTCTCACAGTTCCTTCCTTCCAGAGAGCACCTGTCTCCTCTTCCATATCCCGTCTTGTTCTCCATATCCACTCATGTTTATGCATGTTGCTCATATTCTATCCTCTTAATTCTAAATTCTAACACCTGTGGCTAAAAGCTACCTGCTTGTGGGACGATCTGGTGGCGTTAGGTTAGGGACCTGGATCCCACATGGCTGACTGCACGGTTCAAGTCAGAGACCTGGCAACTTAAGAATCACGCCGGATGCATGGGCGTGTGTGCCCCCAAATCCTGAGGAGAACTAAGGAGAAGGGGTGGCAGTGTGGCCATCCGCTCTGGGGGTGATTTCTCACTCCCCCCCCTCTAGCAAGTGCACACCCCCTTTAACGACGACAACAACAAAAACTACCTGCTTGCTTTCCTTCTTACGGTTTGACGTTTGCTTCTTTCCATCTTCCAGCACCACTTATGTACTCCTGAGCTGACGATGGCTTATAAACTTTCCTTCTCCTCTGAAACCTGAATTAAATTGGGCTACAGGACTTTTAAGATGTATCAGTTGAAAACAACAACACAAAAAGGATCCTGGCCAAATGGAAGGGGAAGCGTAAGTAGCATTCTGTTCCTTTAAGTGACACGTGTATATTCCCTAGCCAAGCCCCATCCCACTCACCTGCTGTAGACTCTAGTTACCAAATTGTTGATCTGTTTGTCAATCTTGTATTTTCGGTAATCTTCCAAGCCGTCCTTAATCGCGATGATGGTAAGGACCACCACCAGAGGCAGCATGGTGATTTCTTTTTGAAAGGCTTCTACTAAAGGCACCCAGTTCAGGACAACTAGGAACAGGAAATACAAGTTGGCGGCTCTACGACAAACACATACAAGGGCAGGTTAGCACGACACTGCAAGACGAAGTGAGAGAATCAAAATGCCTTATTGTGTTTTCCTATCATTGTGGTGCAAGTTTATTTATTTCTTCAGAGAGAGGGAGGGCGAGAGCACCCCTCAATAGAGTCTTCACACCACACTCCGCCCCCAGTCTCGGGCAGCTCATATGGAGCACACACAGGCAAGATGCACCAGGAGGTTCTGGGATGAGAACCCAAGACCTTCCCAGGTGAGTCCAGTAGCATTACCACCGTGCCACCACCTGGCCCCTTGTCAGTCTTTACTGAGCGATTCTGTATGCTCCAGAATAGAGCACGTGCAACATCTAACAGGTCTGAATGAACTATGCATCATCTTCCTTCTCAACTGGCTCATGTCATACTTGAATGAATCTGAAACATTATTTATTAAATATACACTTGTGAATATTTGAGTGAGACAGTCTTGAGTAGTGTAATACAAGTCAAAAAACAGTAGAAAAAACTGCTTTCTTTTTTAAAGTTCAAAAATAGGGCCAGCAGGCAGGATGGTGGTTAGGATGGTTGGATCCCACATGACTGACTTCACAGTTCAAGTCTAGGATCCAGCAGCTTAACGATTATTCTGGGCACGTGTGCATGCATACCCAAGATGCCAGGAGAACGGAGAAGTGATTGCAGTATAGCTATCCGGTTGGGGGTGATTTCTCACTTTCCCTCTTTTCTGTTTCTCTTTAACAAGTGCACATGTCCTATAGCAGAAAACTAACAAACTAAAAATATAAAGTTTGAGACCAGCAGATGGCATAATGTTTACATCACTGGACTCCCACATAGTCGACCATGGTTCAAGTCCTGGATCCAGCAACTTAAAATTCACATCGGGCATGTGTGCGTGCATGCCCAAGATCCCAAAAGGAGAATGGAGAAGAAGGGGTTGCAGAGTGGTCATCCCCCCTGGGGGTGTGTGATTTCTCGCTTTCTGTCTTTCTGTCTCTCTAGTGAGCACATGTGCTCTATAGGAAAAATCTCTCTAAAACATAAAAAATAAAGTTCAAAAATATTTAGGAGAAGTTCAGAGTTAAATGTGTTGTAAAATAAACTAATAAAACTAAATCAACTCTCTAGACTTTCATATGTCTTTTTCTTTCGTTAAAAAATTTCGTTAAAGTGTGTGCACTTGTCGAGAGAGAAAGAGAGAGAGAGAGACAGGGAATGAGAAAGCACCTCTTGCAGGGAGTGGTCACACCACAATCCCCTCTCCTCCATTTCTTTTGGGATTTTGGGCGCACACGCGCAAGTACCTGGTGGGTTTTCCAAACTGCCAGGTCCAGGACTCTAACCACACTGTCAGCCATGTGGGATCCAGCCACTTTAACCACTGTGCCACCCACTGGCCTGACTTGTATGTCTAAACATTAGGTTATTGGAGAAGTTATGATGCATTTTTGCATAAAAAACATAGAAAAATACATCATGACTTTTCTGACGACCCAATATTAGATTCAAAGGAGGATCAGCTCAATACAAGCAGAAAAACCTGAGACTTTTTTCTTCTTGAGATTAATCCTTTCTTTAAAAAGAGATTTTTTTTGCTATAGGGTGTGTGTGCTCCCAGAGAGATGGAGACAGACAGACAGAAAGGGAGAAATCACCCCCCTCCCAGGGGGATGGCCACACCGCAATTCCTTCTCCTCCTTTCTCCTCTTGGGATCTTGGGCACGCACGCACACACACCTGGTGTGAGTTTAAGTTGCTACGTCTGGGACTTGAACTGTGTTCGACTACACAGGAGTCTAGTGACATAACCATTATGCCATCTGCTGGTCCCAATCCTTCTATCTTTTGAAATGTTATTCCAAACTACTTTATTCAGGAACTTCTTTCATTCCTGTATTTTGTACATACTTCTCCATTAGTTCATTATTTTTGGCCATGAGATAAGTTGGAGATACTCTTTTCTGGGCCAGCAAGTGGCATGGCGGTTAAGGTGGCTGGACCCTACACAGTTGACTATGTGGTTTGAATCCTGGGACTGGCAGCTTGGAAAACACAATGGGTGTGTGTGCCTGCCCCAAATCC